CCCAGACCCCCACCTCCTCCACGGCTTTGCTCCGCGTCTCCCTGGTCTCCCTCCTCCCCAGCAGACCAGGGAGAAGCAGAGCAGCTTTTCTCACCCTGGAGGACGCAGGCAGCGGGACCACGGCACGTCTGGGCAGTCCCGCCGCCCGCATCCTCCAGGGCGAGAAAAGCCCCGTTCGTAACTACGGATCCGACATAAGTCGGATCCACGTAACCCAGGGACTGCCTGTATACGCTGCAGGGAATGATATACAGGTTACATTTGAAGTAGCATTTGCAAGTGTAATTTATATTTCTTCTGAGAATAGGCATTCCATATATCTATATCTGCAAATACTTTATATGAATTACAACACTTTTCCAATTTTTATAATTAAATTTGTAGGAATAACTGAAAAATCGCCAGTGCATTTGTTATTCCCTGAATACCTTATGAAAAGTTAAATCAATATACCCAATTTAAACACACAAAGGAATCAGCTATAAAAATGTTTGCTTTTGAACTTGAGTCACAATATTTAGCATGACAATGTAAATAATTTAACATAGCCTACTGAATCAGAGTCTTACATCTGAAGAACTGTTTCCATTTTCTAACTCTTCAGCAGGCCTGGCAGTTTCTTCTAATGCGTATCTGGTACGGTAATTGTGCTGGTTTGCCTGTTGCTTTCTTGAGTCTCCAGCATCTAATATATGATCATGAGAATGGTTCTATAAGAACATGAAAATTATATTAGAATAATATATACTTAAGTACTAATGATTTTCAGTAAAACTTCAGATTAGTGTTCTATTTATGAATAAAGTTCTAGCACCACTTAGACTTTCTTCTGTTGTAGTGTTAAAAAAGTACATTTCACAAACCATCACAAACCATCAACTTGAGAACAAGGGTCAAGAAAGTCAAATGCTAGTGAACAGCAACTCAGTGAAAACACATGCATAAGGAATTTAACATTCATTCAATATACCCTGGAGCTACTGAACTTCTCAAAAGGAACTTTCTCAAAAGGAAGATTCATCTTGACTTACCAAAAATTTCCTTGATCTTAATTACAAGGTCCAAAGAATGGACTCTCACCCTACATAAATCTATGTAGGCAAAACCAGACCAGCTATACTGAAGAGACTGCCATGGAGACAGGTTTCACTACAATAAATAATATCTTTGTGGACTGAAGGAAGGGCAATCAAGTTGAACTAAATGATACTGAGAAGATCAGAGAAAAAACTGCTACTTAGTTTCTTGTAACTCTTGTCCGTCAACATGTGTTGCTCATGCCCATTCCAAAAGGTGTGCATGCACTGTGTGCACAATCATTGGAAGGGTATTCCATTTCGGCTGGAACCTGGGCTCCAGAACCATCTCCTATTGCACGGTCTCAAGAGCCTTAGCCCAAATTGTATAGCCACATAGCTGTGGGTGTATTATTGCAGCATAGATATGAACAAAGTCTCCACTTGTAAGTATTGCCATATCTTTAAGTTAGGGATATAATAGATTTGAAGAATTCTAACTTGAAGACCTCTTCCTGCTTTTCTATCTCCTGTGGTTCCTATTCTAAATGTGAATATTGTCCCTCTTCCCAAGAAGACACCAAGGAATTGCACCTGCAAGATCTGGATTTGTGCTTCCTAGTTTTAGACTGGCCCCTTCCTGAAGGATCAGCATCTAAATACCCTGAAACAGATGTAAAGGACTGCAGTGCCATCTGAATGTAGACATTAGTACTTCCATTAGTGATCTGAAACTGAGATGGTACAAGTAGTGTTTGGCAATCTCATTCACGAACATCTCACATGTAAGATTATTTTCCTATAACTTCATATTATAAGGCTCATCTGCTACCACCTGAAAGCATTTTCATCATTGACTCTTGTACATTTCAAGGATGGAATGCCGTAGCTGGTTCCCTTCCCCCTCCCATGGAGCTGGAAGCAACTGGCTTTTAGGCCAGCTCTCCACAGCACTCTTTTCTCCTCCCCCCTCCCCCCTTCTTTCTGACAGAGGCAGCAAGCAGGGGGAGCAACTAGTTGACCAGTGTGTCGACTAGCCAATAAGCTTTTGGTTATCGGATATTTGACTAGTGGATTAGTCGCTTACATCCCCATTACTAAGTGGAAAAGGAGGGGCTTTGGAGGGGCTTCTGAGTGTAATCTGTGATCGCTGATAGGATCATGAGTCCTAATAAAATACTGTATATAGAGTCTTGCTCAATTGTGTAGCGCTGAACAAATGTGTGATCTGACGCCTAAGTGAGATCTGACGCCTAAGTGATTGCTTTAACTTATGTTTATAATAGGCACATTATTAAGGAAGGCTACTGAGGTCCAGAGTAACCTGGAAGAACATGTTCTAACCCCCGATAGGGGTTGCAGTTTGTGTTGGCAGTAGTAGAGATGAATGCACTCTGAACTCCATTTAGACAAACTTAAAAAACAACAAATGGTCTAGTAGCACTTTATAGACTAACAAAACATGCAGATGATATAATGAGCTTTCGTGGGCACAGCCCACTTCTTCAGATAACCAGAGTCTTATCTGAAGAAGTGGGCTATGCCCTTGAAAGCTCATGATACCATTTACATGTTTTGTTAGTCTATAAAGTGCTACCAGACCATTTGTTGTGTTAAGTTTATCCTGTACAGACTAACTCGGCTACCCCCTGAAGCTTCCATTTAGACAGTCTTGCTTAGATACAGATTCTCCATTAGTTTCTCTCTCCTTACTTGACAAAGTTTAAGTGCCTTTTAAATGCTTTAGTCCATCTAAGATAAGGCTAGTGCACTTCTGACATCTGAAGTGCCACTTCTTATGATATTTAGGGAAGAATGTGGGAAGATGAATGAATTGGTTAAACAAATAGGGTACTTCATGAAGAAATGTAGGATGTGGTCTTAGAGTAACCTTATTTTTGAAAAAGTTCATGTTTGGGGGTTATGCCAGGAGAGCCCCAAGATCTGCTACACATCTTGTGTATGTGACGGTAACAAAGACGGCCATTTTTATTGATGGTTACATGTTCACTATTACATCTAAGTTTTCAAATGGAGGTCTGGTAAGAGAATGAAGTACTAAACTAAGATCCCATGGAGGTATTGGCACACTGAGTTCAGGACAGAGTTACCAAACACCTTGCAAGAATTGTTGTGTAATTCAATGGGCCAAGACAGAAAATCTATCCACTTTATGATGAAAGGTTGTGTTGGCTGCAAGGTGTACTCTCAGTGAAATACCTAATTTTCTTTAATTCAAATATGTAATCCAGGTCTAATGATAGAGCAGAGGTGGCATCTCTGTTTTGTTTATTTCAGCACTATGCATGGAATCTTTTCAATTTTTGGAGATAGCTTAAGAGAGTGCAGTGGCACTGTCTGCTGTTTAGCAATACTTCTTTTACCTTTTCTGAGCAAGTCATCTTCTCACTCTAGAAAAATGTAGGTACCTTGCCTCCATGTCTGATGAATTTAAGGGATGTCCACAGAGCTGTCCTGCCAGGAGATGGTTTTCAGTGATGACTAACAAACTGCTCTTTTTGTCATCATGGATTAAATCATTACATTCTGACAGTTCAGAGTAATTTGTGTAATTTGTTTTTGCCATCAAATCTTTATAGTATGCTATTTTGAACTGCAATGTTGCTTACAAATAGGCCTTGTGACCAAAAAGATCCAATTTTTTCCACCACGCTTTACCTTACAGGGTAGTCCTCAAATGGTGTTGCTTACCCTGCTTGCTGACCACCTCTACCACTAATAAGTTTGGCTGAAGTGTGAAAATAGAAATTCTACATCCTTCAATGGGATATAGTACTTCTTATCTGCTCTTTTACAAGTAGGGGGAACAATTGCAGGTGTTTTCCAGATGGCCTTGCCAGGATTCATGAGTGCCTTATTTATGGGAAGGGCAATTTAGAAGGATGTTGACAAGAGTAATATGTCCACCAACTTTCATTGTGACTCAGCAACCTTCCAGGAGGATTTGAAACATGTCTGCAATTCTTTATAGATTTGGTGGTGATGGGGGACTTCAACTATCCAGACATATGTTGGGAAACTAACACAGCGGGACACAGGCTATCCAATAAGTTTCTGGACTGCATTGGAGACAACTTTCTGTTTCAGAAGGTTGAAAAAGCTACCAGAGAAGCTATTCTGGATTTGGTTTTAAGAAATAGGGAGGAACTAGTTGAGAACTTGAAAGTGGAAGATAGTATAGTGGACAGTGATCATGAAATAATAGAGTTCATGATCTTAAGGAAAGGTAGAAGGGAGACCAGCACAATTGAGGTAATGGATTTCAGGAAGGCAGATTTTGATAAGCTCAGAGAACTTGTAGGTAAGGTCCCATGGGAAGCAAGACTGAAGGGAAAAACAACTGAGGAGAGTTGTGGAAGTATTTCAAAGGGACGTTGTTAAGGGCCCAAAAGCAAACAATTCCGCTGTGTAGGAAAGACAGAAAATATGGCAAAAGACCAGCTTGGCTTAACAAGGAGATCTTGCATGATCTCAAAATAAAAAAGGAGTTGTATAAAAAATGGAAACTAGGACAAATAACAAAGGATGAATATAGGCAAGCAACACGGGAATGCAGGGGCAAGATTAGAAAGGCAAAGGCAGAAAATGAGATCAAACTAGCTACAGGCATAAAGGGAAACAAGAAGACCTTTTATAAATACATTAAAAGCAAGAGGAAGACCAAGGACAGGGTAGGCCCACTGCTTAGTGAGGAGGGAGAAGCAGTAACAGGAAACCTGGAAATGGCGGAGATGCTCAATGACTTCTTTGTTTCGGTCTTCACCGAGAAGTCTGGAGGTGTGCCTAACGTAGTGAATACAAGCAGAGAGAGGGTAAGTTTAGAAGATAGGATACACAAAGAACAAGTTAAAAATCACTTAGGAAAGTTAGATGTTAGCAAGTCACCAGGTCCTGATGAAATGCATCCCAGGATACTCAAAGAGCTGATAGAGGAGGTATCTGAGCCTTTAGCTATGATTTTTGAAAAATCATGGCAGACAGGGGAGATTCCAGAAGACTGGAAAAGGGAAAATATTGTGCCCATCTATAAAAAGGGGAATAAGAACAACCCAGGAAACTACAGACCGGTCAGTTTAACGGCTGTCCCAGGGAAGATAATGGAGCAGGTAATTAAGGAAATCATATGCAAACACTTGGAAGGTAATAAAGTGATAGGGAATAGCCAGCATGGGTTTGTGAAGAACAAGTCATGCCAAACTAATCTGATAGCTTTCTTTGATAGGATAACGAGCCTTGTGGATAAGGGAGAAGCGGTGGATGTCATATACCTAGACTTTAGTAAGGCATTTGATACGGTCTCGCATGATATTCTTATTGATAAACTAGGCAAATATAACTTAGATAGGGCCACGATAAGGTGGGTGCATAATTGGCTGGATAACCGTAGTCAGAGAGTTGTTAACGGTTCTAAATCCTGCTGGAAAGGGATAACAAGTGGAGTTCCTCAAGGGTCTGTTTTGGGATCCGTACTGTTCAATATCTTCATCAATGATGTAGATATTGGGATAGAGAGTACGCTTATTAAGTTTGCAGATGATACCAAACTGGGTGGGGTTGCAACTTCTTTGGAGGATAGGGACATAATTCAAAATGACCTTAGCAAGTTAGAGAAATGGTCAGAGGTAAACAGGATGAGGTTTAATAAAGAGAAATGCAAAGTGCTCCACTTAGGAAGGAACAATCAGTTCCATACATACAAGAGGGGAAGCGACTGTCTAGGAAGGAGCATAGCAGAAAGGGATCTAGGGGTCATAGTGGACCACAAGTTGAATATGAGTCAACAGTGTGATGCTGTTGCAAAAAAAGCAAATATGATTCTAGGTTGTATCAACAGGTGTGTTGTAAGCAAAACTCGTGAAGTCATTCTGCCGCTCTACTCTGCACTAGTTAGGCCTCAGCTGGAGTACTGTGTCCAGTTCTGGGCGCCACATTTCAAGAAAGATGTGGAGAAATTGGAAAGGGTACAGAGAAGAGCAACAAGAATGATTAAAGGTTTAGAGAACATGACCTATGAAGCCAGGCTTCATGAACTGGGCTTGTTTAGTTTGGAAAAAAGAAGATTAAGGGGGGACATGATAGCTGTTTTCAAATATCTACAAGGGTGTCACAAGGAGGAAGGAAAAAATTTGTTCCTCTTGGTTTCTGAGGACAGGACAAGGAGTAATGGGCTTAAAGTGCAGCAGGGGAGGTTTAGATTGGACATTAGGAAAAAATTCCTAACTGTCAGGGTGGTCAAATATTGGAATAAATTGCCAAGGGAGGTGGTGGAATCTCCCTCTCTGGAGATATTTAAGAACAGGTTAGATAGATGTTTGTCAGGGATGGTGTAGACGGAGCTTGGTCCTGTCTTGAGGGCGGGGGGCCGGACTCGATGACCTCTCGAGGTCCCGTCCAGTCCTATTATTCTATGATTCTATGATTCTTTTAAACAGCTCCTGTTAAAATCATCTGCTATTGTAGGCAACAGAGGTATTAATGTTTTCATCTGGAGAGGAGCAGATATTAGTTGCAGGAGTGGCCTCCTGATTTAGGGCCACCTCTGTTTCCTCAAAAATGTCCTTAGGAACCTCACAGAGTTTCACTTCTAGCCCATTGCTCAAAATCAGCAATACCAAAGTCTACTTCACCACTTTTGGTACAGACACCCTCACTGCCTATCCTCCCAACACAGCAACAATTCCTGGTACCACAACAGTTCCTGAAGATGCCATCTTCATTACCAAGATAACTTGGAATTCAGCAATTTCTCTAACATGAGGACTTAGGTATTGCAGCACCAGAATCACTTATTCTCAGTACTGATAAAGTGTCAGTAAATTCAGTACTGTTAAATGTGCCAAGAAATAGATCTGCCCCTCCTTTTTCTAATGAGGAGGACGACAATGAGGGGAGAGATGATTTCCCTCATAGCATTCTTCACCGAACCAGCAATCATCAGAACAAATTTACAGGAACAGTAAGGACACTGTTCCAGCGCTATTACCCAAGATTGGTATGGACATCCATGGTTGTCTTCACCAATTCTATTCCTGCCTTCATGGCCCTATTATGACTTTTGGGTTGTATACAGGCAATAAAAGTACAAGACTTCCAGTACCGCCAGGAGGCTGTGTCTAAACTACATCCCTCTTCTCAAAAAAGAGATATAAATTAGACACTTCGAAATTGCAGATGAAGCTGGGATTTAAATTTCCCGTGCTTCATTTGCATAATGGCGGCCATGGCTTTTTTTCAAAAAGGGGCTTTTTGAAAGAAAAAAGGCTGTTTCGACGGGGATCGTTCGAAAATAAAACTCTCTTTCGAAAGATCCTGTACTCATTTTTTCAGGAGTACGGGGTCTTTTGAAAAAGGGTTTTATTTTTGAACGATCCCCGTCGAAACAGCCTTTTTTCTTTCAAAAAGCCCCTTTTCAAAAAAAAGCGGCAGTCACCATTATGCAAATGAAGCACGGGAAATTTAAATCCTGGCTTCATTTGCAATTTTGAAGTGTCTAATTTACATCCCCTTTTTCGAGAAAAGGGATGTAGTTTAGACACAGCCAGAGTGGCAATACCATACCGTACTTCTGCACTGCTTCCTTCAGAGGTAGGCAGCCAAAAAATAGCAATCGCTGACTGAGTGCCCAACTTCAAAGGCAGCAGCACTGATATAAAGGAGACCCTACCATACCATGCCACCCTTACTTCTACACTGCTGGTAATGGTGCTCTGCCTTCAGAGATGGGCTCCCTGCCAGCAGCCCCTGCTGTCCAAAGGACTAAATTTGGTACAACTCTACTTATAACTCACCTCACCTTAGACCAAATGATTTCAAAGCCTATCAGCAAATATACCTACCCTTCACTATCCTTGTTACTAGCCTAGAATTTAGTAAGACTAAAGACAGTCATTGCTTGAAAGGAAGGGGGCATGAAAAAGATACCAGTTTTCATCTCAGAGATTCAATAAAACAATGCTGCACCTAATTTTGGAAGGATTTACATAAATCTGAGAATCTGACAGAGATAGGTCATTTGCTTGATGTGAACTTCAGCACCATTCGGGTAATGATGATGTGCATAAGTCATCCTGGACCTCCCTGAGAATGGGGACCTTGTCAACTCATCTTTGGAAATATTTCCCCCTTAGATTGGCACATCACACTTTCCTCAGGCGCTGAGATGAATAAAGGACAAATACACACCTGCAGCCCACTATAAGATAACTAGCCAATTAACCTGTCATAAAACGGGATTTTCAGGTCTCTCCTCCACGTCCTATTCCCTTTCTATCTTGGTTCCCCCCCCCCCCCCCCCCCCCCCCCACCCCCCCCCCCCCGCCTCTCTCAGCTCTCCTCCATCTCCTGCCTCTCTCTCTCTCTCTCTCCTCCCCTTCCTGCCTCTCTCTCTCTCTTTCTATTCTCCTTCCCCCTCCTGCCTCTCCCTCTCTCTTTCTCTTCTCCTCCTGCATGGGGAGCGCGGAGCCCAAACAGCTGTTTGCGCCGCTTGCTGCCTATGAGCTCCAGCTGCCCCCCAGCACTGATCCTGCAGCCTCCCAGTTGTCCTCCACCTCTACCTCCCCCTCCCTTCTCTGCCCTCGCCCCGGGCCAGGGTCTGTTCACAGCCAGGGGGCGGGGCCTGGAGCCACTGTCAAGCCGCACGTCACCGCCCCGCTCCCCTTCGCCTCCTGCCGTGGCGCTCGGCTGACTTCTGCACTGCTCAGCCGGGCTGCCGCGCGGAAGCAAGCAGCCATTTGCTCCCCGCGCTCCCAATGCAGCACGGGGGTGCTACAAGGGGAGCACAGCCCCCAAACGGCCGCTTGTGTTGCTTGCTCCCGCGTGGCGGCCCAGCTGAGCGTCACAGAATTCAGCCGAGGGCCACGATAGGAGGCAACAGCGCCTCTCAGAGGGAACAGCCAGCATTTCAGCATTACAGAGTCACAGACATTGGGCTACTATATATGATGACCGAAGAAAGAGCAAAAGTCCTGAGGGATCGGACAATTATAAGAATAAAGTAAATATGGGATATGAATTTGTGTGATTCAAGGCAACCTCTAACTGAGGAAGCTTAGAAGAAGCTTCCCTTTTGAAAAGGTTATTCCAAAATTGCTCACTAGGAGGTTTCTTGCCTCCTCCTGTGAAGGCTCTAGTACCGACTACTGTCATACACAGAAAACTTGGACTAGATGGACTACTGATCTGCTCTGAAATGACAATTCCAGTGTCCCAGTGCTGTTTTGGATAACAATGGCCTGATCAAACTTCTGATACTGAACTGATTTGAACTAAAAAAATCTGCAGGAACCTTTTGACTACTTTCCAAACTGCTAGCTGGCACTCAAGGAGCCAAGTTAAATAAAGCCTATAAAAGGGGAACACAAAATTACTTGTCTTGTAAGGAAAGACATTTTGTAAAAACTCTGATTTTGTGAGGATGCTCCACTATTACCCTGGTGGAAATCATGAAAGAGCACTCAAAACTACTTATACCCAGTTTGGCGTTCTCATGAGCCATTCATGGGCTTTTTCTTAGCTCTGCCTCCAAATCCCTAAGGGACAGCATTTTTGGCTTTTGTTGTAGTCACAATTTTATTATTTCTCCAGCCAACATGTTCCATGGTAGAAAACCCCCCCAAAAAGTCTAATTTAAAGAATCACACAGACTCTTCCAAAACACATGCACCTCTTCAAGATCTCTATTTTACAAACATATTTTTTTAAAGGTAAAAAGGATCTGTGATGGTATATCTCCAATTGGCATGAATCTCAGATCATTATCCCCAACCTCACACCATCTTGCTGCTGCTCTTGTCTACTCTGAAGGAATGTTTTTATATTGCCATATGAATCAGACCTATATTTTTAAAGGTCCCTCAAAAAACTGCTTGTAAGAGAAGGTGCTTTTATGGAAAATATTTGGTCACATTAGTAGCAATAGTTTGTCCCTATTTATACAGATGACGAGAGTGGAACTAGCATGGTTAATTTTGGCATAACTTTTCAACAAAAGTTGAACCTTCCATGAAAACCCATATGATGTACATGTTAGAAACATTTTCTTCCAGTTGTACAACTAAAGCAATATATACCATTTTCCATCTGTGACAGCCTCTAACAATAAGATATGCCCTCATGACCAAGATGCATTGCTCTAATAATTTTCATTTGACAGGATTTTCAGAAACACAACTCACTGCTTGTTTGGAATGTGACTAGCTTTCTGTTTTAAGCACCTAAACTCTATTTCCTAGCTTTCACATGTCTGAATTTTGGTGACATAAGCATTCAGAAAGGGCATAAGCTATCACTGAGCAAAACTAAATCTGTGCTAAAGTTATCTGTCACTTAAAAATATAACATGAACGGTCAGGTAGTCTCTTAACTCTAAATAAGAAACAATATATCCCTATTTCCAGTTTTAATTTTAATTGGCATGAGACGTTTAGAAACATCTGTGGACTCAATATACCAAATGACATAAGCATTCAGAAAGGGCATAAGCTATCACTGAGCAAAACTAAATCTGTGCTAAAGTTATCTGTCACTTAAAAATATAACATGAACGGTCAGGTAGTCTCTTAACTCTAAATAAGAAACAATATATCCCTATTTCCAGTTTTAATTTTAATTGGCATGAGACGTTTAGAAACATCTGTGGACTCAATATACCAAAATAAGTTCTCTTCGCTTCTGCAGACTAAACAGACCCAAGTCCCTCAGCCTCTCCTCGTAAGTCATATGCTCCAGCTCCCTAATCATTTTGGTTGCCCTCCGCTGGCCCCTCTCCCTTTGCTGTTCTCCATTCCTCCTGTCTACTGGAAGAGAGAAATTAATAAATGTTAATTTTAGAGTTTCCAGAATTAGGACAAAGTCCTATAGTAAGAGACCCTTTTCTTTATAATTTCTGTGTGTGGAATAGAACATTTATCGAAGTCTTATGTTAAACAATAGTTACTTACTCAACAGTGATAGCATTCTTCCAGATGTTGTCATCAGAGTGGATCCTACTATAGGTGCATATGTGTCGCTCATTCACACTAGCCTTGGAATATTCTGAATAGTAGAGTTTGGCAGGGCCATAGGTGTATATTGTGCTTCCTTGAGTTCCCATGCAAGGGCAAAGCGGGTGGAGCGGCCCCACCCCTTTCTCAGAATTCAAAGCAATCAAAAGTTAGGACCCCAAAGAGTTAATGGGAGATGTGTCATAGACTCCACACTAACATAAGAACGGCTGTACTGGGTCAGACCAAAGGTCCATCTAGCCCAGTAGCCTGTCTGACGACAGTGGCCAGCACCAGATGCCCCAGAGGGGGTGGACCGAAGACAATGATAAAGCGATTTGTCTCGTGCCATCCGTCTCCAGCCTCTGACAAGCAGAGGCCAGGGACACCATTCCTACCCACTGGCTAATAGCCTTTTATGGACCTAAGCTCCATGAATTTATCTAGCTTCTCTTTAAACTCAGTTATAGTTCTAGCCTTCACAGGCAAGGAGTTCCACAGGCTGACTATGCGCTGTGTGAAGAAGAACTTTCTTTTATTAGTTTTAAACCTGCTACCCATTCATTTCATTTGGTGTCCTCTAGTCCTTATATTATGGGAACTAATGAATAACTTTTCTTTATTCACCCTTTCCACACCACTCATGATTTTATAGACCTCATATCCCCTCTCAGTCTCCTCTTTTCCAAACTGAAAAGTCCCAATCGCTTTATCCTCTCCTCATATGAGACCTGTTTCAAACCCCTGATCATTTTAGTTGCCCTTTTCTGAACCCTTTCCAAGGCCAAGATTTTTTTTTTTTTTTGAGATGAGGAGACCACATCTGGATATGGGTATAACATGGATTTATATAGAGGCAATAAGATATTTCTGTCCCTTTCTTAATAGTTCCTAACATTCTGTTTACTTTTTTTGATTACTGTTGCACATTGAGTTGATATTTTCAAAGAACTATCCACAATGACTCCAATATCTCTGTTGAGTGGTAACAGTTATACATATAATTGGGACAAGAAGAAACTAATTTCTGGACAGTTTTTAGATCAAGAAGCAATGGGCTTAATTTACAACAAGAGAGATTTAGGTTGGAAACTAGGAAAAACTTCCTAACTGTCAGGGTTAAACCCTGGAATAAATTGCCTAGGCTATGTCTACTGCCAGGTTTTTTTTTTCCGGAAAAAGATACGCAAATGGCAAAATGTAATTTGTGTATTTTTTTCCGCTTGTTTTTTTGGAAGCAGCTTTTCCAACTTTTGGTCCATCTAGATGGGGCCAAATGTTGGAAAAACTCCCTCTTTTGGAACATCCCTTATTCCTCATAAAATGTGGAATACAAGGATGCCGAAAGAATGCGCCTGCTTTTTTGGAAACTGTTACAAAAACGTGGATACATTCCCTGGAAGCGGCAGAGATTTTCTGGGATTCCGGAGGTATCCCAGAAAAACTCTGAAGTCTAGACATAGCTGTAGAGAGGTTGTGAAATCTTCAATATTTGGAGCTGTTTAAGTGCAGGTTAGATAGACATATATAAGAGATGATGTAGGTTGTGCTTGGTGCCCAGCCCCTGCCCGGGGTTGTGGCACATGCCGGTGCCAGTCCCGGGCGCGTGGCACATGCATGGCCCACCCCCAGGCACGGGGCCCATGAGCAGCCCCGTCCCCAGGCGCCTGGCAGCCCCAAAACATTGGTGACAACTGCTCTAGATCATTTATGAATATGTTGAATAGGATTGGTACCAGGGGGGACACCACTAGTTACCCCTCTCCATTCTGAAAATTTACCATTTATTCCTACCCTTTGTTTCCTGTCTTTTAACCAGTTCTCAGTCCAAGAAAGGACCTTCCCTCTTATCCCATGGCAATGTAATTTACACAAGAGCCTTTGGTGAGGGACTTTGTCAAAGGCTTTCTGAAAATCTAAGTATACTATATCTACTGTACCCCCTTGTCCACGTGTTTGTTAACCCCTTCAAAGAACTCTAACAGATTAGTAAGACATGATTTCCCTTTACAGAAACCATGTTGACTTTTGCTCAACAAATTATGTTCTTCTACAAGCCTAACAAATTTATTCTTAACTATTGTTTTGACTAATTTTCCCAGTACAGTACCGACGTTACACTAACTAATCTATAATTGCCGACTTTATGCTTTTATTGCACATCCATTTCTTTGGTTTCTTTGAACATGCTTCTTTAGATAAATACTTTTGAAAGAATAATTACATTTACAGTAAAGTACAAACATTTCTTTTGCTACATTTTTCCTACTCTTAATCAAGTAAATCAGCAGTATACAGAATTTGGTAATTAGCTATTGGACCATTACTTTTTAAAAAATAGCAATATTAGAAAAAGTCATATTGCCAAAACTGGAGTTATTAACCCCATTCATCAACAACATGACCAATGTATTCTAATTCTCTGCTTCCTTGGAATTACAAACAAGAAATTCTTCTCTTTGCCTCATGCCTTTTTAGAACCTTTGGGTGAATGCCATCCTATCCCGGTGATTTGTTAACGTTAAGTTTCTCTATTTGTTCCAAAACCTCCTCTAATGACACTTCAGTCCAGGACAGTTCCTCAGATTCATCTCCCACAAAGGATGGTGCAGGTTTGGGAATCTCCCCAATATCCTCAGCAGTGAAGACTGATGCAAAGAAATCATTTAGCTTCTCTGCAATAGCTTTGTCATCCTTGATTGCTCCTTTTGTATCTCGATTGTCTAGGGGACCCACTGTTTTTTTAGTAGGCTTCCTGCTGCTAATGTACTTAAAACATTTTGCTATTGCTTTTTGAATTTTTGGCTAGCTGTTCCTCAATCTTTTTTTGCCTTTCTTATTACATTTTTACACTTAATTTGACAGTGTTTATGTTCCTTTCCATTTATCTCACTGGGATTGGACTTCCATTTCTTGAAAGATGCCTTTTTGTCCCTCACTGCTTCTTTTACATGGTGGTTAAGCCACAGTAACACTTTTTTAGGTCTCTTGCTATGTTTTTTAATTTGGGGTATACATTTAAGTTGGGCCTCCATTATGGTGTCTTTAAAAAGTTTCCATGCAGCTTGCAGGGATTTGGCTCCCGTCACTGTGCCTTTTAATTTCTGTTTAACTAACCTGCTCATGTTTGTTTAATTTCCCTTTTTGAAATTAAATGCCAGAGTGCTGGACTGCTGAGGTGGTGTTCCCACCACAGGAATGTTCAAAGTTATTGTATTATGGTCACTATTCCCAAAGCGGTCTTGTAACAGTACCTCCCAGACCTGGATCTTGCACTCCACTCAGGACTAAATCGAGAATTGCCTCTCCCCTTGTGGGTTTCTGTACCAGGTGCTCCAAGAAGCAGTCATTTAAGTCATTGAGAAATTTTATTTCTGCATCTTTTCCTGAAGTGACATGTACCCAGTCAATATGGGGAGAACTGAAATCTCCCATTATTATAGAGTTTTTTATTTTGGTAGCCTCTCTAATCTCCCTTAGCATTTCAACGTCACTATCACTGTCCTGGTCAGGTGGTCGATAACATATCCCTTATCTTTATTATTGGAGCATGGAATTACTATCCATAGTGATTCCATTGAACATGTTGATTCATTTAAGATTTGTATTTCATTTGATTCTACGTTATCTTTCACATATAGTGCCACTCTGCCACCCACACGGCCTGTTCTATCCTTCCGATATATTTTATATCCCGGTATGACTGTGTCCCACAGATTTTCCTCATTCCACCAGGTTTCTGTGATGCCTATTATGTCAATCTCCTCCTTTAATACAAGGTACTCTAGTTCACCCATCTTATTAATCAAACTTCTAGTATTTGTGCAGAAACACTTTAAAAATTTGCCACTGTTTATTTGTCTGCCCTTTCCTGACGTATTAGATTCCTTTGTATGTAGTTGTCTGTCTGCTCTGGCCCCTTGTTTCTCCTCTCTCCTCCTCTCTCTCACTACAGCCTAAAGAATCTCTATCAATGGATTCTCCTCTAAGAGAAGTCTCCGTCCGATTTACATACTTCTCCGCCCCAATTGGCTTTCCCCCCCATCTCCTAGTTTTAAAACTGCTCTATGGCCTTTTTCATGTTGAGTGCCAGCAGTCTGGTTCCACCCTGGCTTAGGGGGAGCCCATCCTTCCTGTATAGGCTCCTCCTCTCCCAAAAGTGTTCCCAGTTCCTAATAAATCTAAACCCCTCTTCCCTAATAAATCCAAATCCCTACACCATCATCTCATCCACACATTGAGACTCTGAAGCTCTGCTGCCTACCTGGCCCTGCACGCGGAACTGGAAGCATTTCTGAGAATGCCACCATAGAGGTCCTGGATTTCAGTCCCTTTCCTAGCAACCTAAATTTGGCCTCTAGGACATCTCTTCTACCCTTTCCTACGTCATTGGTACTTACATGTACCACGACCACCGACTCTTCCCCAGCACTACACATAAGCCTATCTCGATGCCTCGAGAGATCCGCAACCTTCGCACCAGGCAGGCAAGTGACCATACAGTTCTCCCGGTCATCACAAACTCAACTATCTATGTTTCTAACAATCGAATCACCCACTACTAACACCGGCCTCTTCCCAACAACTGGCGTTCCCTCCCCCTAAGAGGTATCCCTAGTGCGAGAGGATACCGCAACATCCTCTGGAAGGAGGGTCCCAACTATGGGATGGTTTCCCTCTGTTCCCATTGAATGCTCTGCTCCCCTGAGCCTTTCATCCTCCTTAAGAGCACTGGGGCTCTCAGACTGGGAGATGGGACAGTACTACAGTGTCCCAGAAAGTCTCATCAACATAGTTCTCTGCCTCCCTTAGCT